GGAGCTCTGCGGAGGGGAGATGGTGTCTGAATGAGCATGTGACTGGTTCCCTTTAACTCGTGACGTGTTGTAGGAGAACCTGCTCATGTCCACCCACCCTGCCTGTTGTAACATATGCACATTCTACTCTCTTCTACTGGCCTGACCAGTGTCCCCTTGTGTCTTAGCCTGTCAACACAAGCACTGTCCTTGACCACTCTTAAAATAAGCTGGCCAAGGAACTGGTCTCACCACAAGACTGATCTCCCATGAAGACTGGACACCTTCACCAGTGTTCTTTAATGATATACAGGAAACATGAAAATAGCTGCATTAGACTCTCTCTTACACCCTCCTGCGATGATGCCTGCGCTTATATTCTCCCACAAGTGTCCTAAGGCTGCCCTCTAGTGGATCAGACTGACACAGCTGCACTTAATATGCTCCTGTGCATATTAACTGGTCACAGTATTTGAAGATGAAAGTCTAGGACAAAGCAGTGTAGGTGTGGAGAAGTCCAAGAAAATGAATTTCAGTTTTTCATGAGTGCGGCGGCAGCAGCGCTCTTGAGGACTGGGGTCAGTTCCAGACCAGGGTGCCTTCTGTGCATGGTCTCCGCTTGTCTGTGAGGGTTTCTTCCCAGTTCCAGAGACATGCTAGCCAGGCTAATCGGTGTCTGTAGGCTGTGGGTGTGTGTGTGCCCTGCAGAGAGCTGGCGTCGTGCCCTCGCGCCTGCTGCGTCAGGGATAGGCACGGCGTGGGGTGTGATATCACTTACCGTGGTCGAGCACCTTTCTGATCGTGAAAGGACAGTCAAGATGTCAACAGTTTATTTTGCTGGAATTTGAAAACAGTGGAGAAACAGATGAGTGCACTGATAAACAAAGGCTTCTCTATTTTGTGTTTATTGGTGTATTGCAGAGGACAAATATCAGAGAGTAATTCAGAGCCAATCATTTCTACACCCGTATATCGGACTCTTATTGATACAGATAGCTGTGATAACAAGTGATAATGAGATTGAACCATTGAAGTTTAAATGTCAGAAACCTACAGATATTTTTTCAAGAATTCTTCACATGGATTTGTTTGCTTCAGGTAAATTATCTTACGATAGAAAAATTCACTCTCCCATTCTGGATAAACAAACAGGAACCGGATCTTTATGGTATAATTTCCTGAAACTCAGAGGGATCATTCTGTGCTCTAACTCCTCTGAAAGTTTTACTGGGTAGGATGTTCTGATCATCCAAGCTCAACCGGACAGTTGCAGGTAAATACATAGATCTGTATGTGTTGG